CCCATTTCCATATAAGGTATGACTGACGGAAAGGTCTGTCACCGCCCCGAGCTGCATGCTGCAGCGAAGTGTACCTCCTGGAAACAGCGGAGGCTGAAGCGGGAAGAAAACAACTGCAGAAACAAAACAAGTTTGATGTAGTTTTCACATGGTATTTAGAAAGAAAATTCAAATGCTTTTGAAATTTATAATGCCGTATAACACAGTACATTGTCACTGTGTCATTTATTTCGAGATAAAGAAACGTTTTTTTCTCTCTTTTATTAGCTCTCTGCCTGTTTTCTAGCTAAAATACAAACAGGTGGATTTCTCCCAATCGATGGCATTCCAAGGTAAAGTTTATGTCCAAGTTTTAAAGTAAAGTTTTAGGTGTTTTAATTTATCGAATGTGCTGTATGTGGAAACTAACTAGCGTGTGATCATAGCGAAGAAAGCTTCTGTGTATGTTTCATGTTTTGATTTTGCAGGTTGGCAGCATCCCTATGTTAACATATTCAAACATGTCAAGCTTGAAGAATGGAAAAAGTCGGCCAAAGTGGGCGACGTGTCAGTATATACGGTAACATTTTGCTCTAAATGTATAAAATTTAAGAGACTTTTTCCCTTTCCCCCATTTTTATAAACAATCCTAAATGTGTTTTTAAAGTGTTGTGTTGCGAGCTGCAGATGAGCTTAAAGAAGATGGAACTTTCACCAGACATATCGCTGTATCGACAATAACTAATAAACTGCAGGTACTCAAACTCAGCTGACCTTTTTTTTTAATATATATATATATATWTTTTATCCAACACTGAATCGTCCAGGACAAGACATTAATGTGTCCAGTGTTCCGGATCAAAGGTCCTGTCCCTGCCAACAGCTACATCCTGGTTCCCAAAAGCACCAACCACTCCCTGGGGCTGACAGGTCGCTACTTTTACCTTCTCTTCAGGCCCACTCCAGACAAATACTTCATGGTTCACCTTGATGTCACTGTGGAGGTATCAGACCTGCTTATGCATAGAGCAATAAAATAAATATTTTCTTATTTATCTTTTTACACCTACAATACGGTTTATTTAACAAATCTTTAGATTTATTTACTAGTCAAAGCATTTCAGCGATTGCTTTTTTTTTTTTGTTCATCTTTGCACATTCACAATGTGAAATACCAGTGTGGTATTTCACATTGTACTAAAGTGGTACATTGATGTGGGTAAATGATGCTGATTTGCTCAAGCAGAAATATTACAGCAATATTACAGCTGGTGGTCAAAACGGACACCAGGCCATTGTGTTTTTAGGTTGTATAAAAATGATATTTTTAGGTGTAAAATAGATTTGAATTGACATGAAAGAAAAATAAAAACACCCATCTGTCTTTCTGTGTGCATTCCTATGTTCTGCAGGGGGGTCAAGTGGTCCGAATATCGTTTTCCAACATGCTTAAAGAGTTCAAGTCCACAGCTACATGGCTTCAGTTTCCTTTCCTGTGTGGAGCTGCAAAGGATTCTGTTGATGAATGCACATCCATAACTATGAAGCATGGTATTACAAAAACCATCACACCTGCGTTTCATCCAATTATTTTGCATAGCTTGGTTTACTCTCAATGTTTTGTTGGCACAAATGTGACGCAGGTATGATGGACCGAGCTCCCGCCTCGGTGCGTTGGACCTGTCTGATGATAGATCTGCAGTTCACGCTTTCTGTCTACCTCAATCGCCACTACAGTCACCTGAAGAGCATCAAGCTTTGTGCCAACATGGCTGTCAAAAACATGTTTACCAGTGACCTGCTGCTAGATCCAGGTGAGAATTAAAACTGTTTCTTAGGCTTTCTTCCTTAACTTTGCTGTCTTCGTTTCCTGTAATGTCCACATTTTTGTTATGTCACAGTTATTTATTTATTTTTTTCATCTAATCTAAGATACCAGTGCTTTACTTGAAGGCCAATAGAATGATAGTAGACATTAAGGAATGTTTTTTTTTAGTGTAACACAACATAAAAACAAGGCTTTTTTTGTTCAATGTCTCTGAACAGGAGTTTCCTTCAATGAAGCAAAGCAGATGGGCCTGACCTCTTCTCGGGGAACTGGTTCTATTCCCAGAGAGATGTCCTTCCCCGTGCCAAAAGGAGCCTCCTGGCATGACCTCTATGATCACATAAGGTACTGTTCTCTCATCAGAAATCAAAAAGAGAAACAGACTTATTTAAAAAAAATTCTAAATACACAAACGATGAGGTTTTGGTGTAAATCAGTCAATTCATCATGAGCTTTCAGTGTTTCAAAGAAAACTTTTCATATTTACCTGCTCAGAACTTCTTGAATAAACCTCTGCAGTTTATTGTTGTTGTTGTTGTTATAAAAAGTTCATGATGTTTTTATAACAACTAAGCATCTTATTTTCTTCAACAGATTTCCCTCTGATGGAACAAAGTTACCTTTTGACTCAATTCAAAAAGAAAATCCAAAGCCAAGCGCTCGTGAGTAAAAAGAGCTTTTAACTGCTTTTCACAGTATTTTTTACTGTCTTTGGCTACGTTCACACTGCAGGCAAATTCGACCCAAATCCAATTTTTTTTGACCCATCTGACTCGTGTCCGATTTTTTTATGACAGTCTGAACGAGACAAATCCGATTTTTTTCAAATCCGACCCAGGCCGTTTCAGTACGTGGTTTTAAATCGGATATATATCTGATGTTTTCAAAGTGACTGCAGCGTGAACGCTCAT